TCGCAAAAACTTAGGTCTATGCAAGAGGAGATTCGAGACTGGATGTGGAAATATGTGGAGCTCCCTGTGTTCAAGAGGTTGAGTTACTTATGATATCTTCGATATGTTTACCTCTCCCAAAAGTGCACTGGAAGCCCCATGTTGTGCTGTGAGCGGTAAAGTCCCCAACTAAGATGAAAGGGTTTGGCAGTTGTTTTATGTGGTCGCTTAGTTCTGAGCTGAATAAGTTGTAGTTTGGAGGAATATATATAGAACAAATAACTATCTTGTTGGGACACCATGCGGTTATCGCAATCGCTTCTAAGCTTGTGTGTAAGTCAAACTCTTGATGGAAGATATCGTTGGAAACAAAAATAGATGAGCCGCCACTTGCTCGTAGGTGTGTAGGTCTTAGGAAGTTGTAGCTAGTGTAGTTTTTTAGGTAGGGGTTGTGATCTTTGGTGAAATTGGTTTCTTGAAGACAGATAAACTTGGGCGAGCAGTCCGATATGAGTTTTTGTAAATATTCTAGTCGGGAGTAAAAGCCATCGCAGTTCCATTGAATTAGTCTTAGCATGGTGTTAGTATTAAAAGGAGCTGAATTGGGAGGATTGGTATGATTGTGAGCTGTCAGAATTGTAGTTATCTGCACTAGAATCTGCGGCAAGATTTGGACTAGGAGTACTTTCGGGTTCTTCTGGATCAGTGCCTAAGGCCTTTATTAGTTTCTTGGTTAGACGGGTTATCCTGTTTTTGATAGATCTCTCCTGACAAGTTGGGTATAATGCTTGAATGTTAGAAATTAATCCTGAAACATTTTCTGTAAACTTAAGAGCTTCAGCGTAGGGGTCACTACAGCCGTAAGTGTTTTCGACAAAGGCTATCAAGTTTTCTGGAGGAATAACAAGTGATTTTGAGGTTTGCTTAAAGGCATCTTTGATAGCGTCTTTTGTTAAATTGGAAAGGTAACGTTCTGACGGTGAACTTGTTCTGGGTTTCTTTTTTTGGTTTTTTAAATGTCTCTATTAGGGGGAGGCACGCAGTTTTCCTCGGATGGATTTGCGGCCGAGATGATATCGGGAATATCAGTTTGCTCACTTGTACTCTCGATTTCGGAGCGGCCACGTTTATGTGTGGGCGTTTTAGTCATTATGGAATTATTTAGTTCTGAAGCAGACATATGGAATTATTTAGTTCTGAAGCAGACATATGTGGTAATGTTGCGGGTTGTATAGAAGACTGTGGTGGTGAGGGGTCTGTTATCTGGGTTGATGTTAACGGCTGAGGCTGGGATGCTATATAATTGGGTGGAGGATTAGGAGAATTTGAGGCAATATGCCCTGACTTTTTGCATATGTAGCATTCCATGTTCTCTGTGGACAAAAATATTCTGTTTTCATTACCTTCGAATGGGATAACTAATGAAGTTTGCAAATTAAAATTGTCATCAGAGGTAAAAACATGCACTTGCTTTCTAAAGCTCATATCGGAAGTTTAAACAAACAGATAGTGTTCAAGATGTCAAACGATCTGGTCGACCAACAATTAGCGATGAAAACAAATTTCATCCAAATTCAAAATTGTGCACCAAACTTTCAGATGATGACCCCGACCGAAGACTAGAATTCTGTGAAAATAATATGTCCAATAAAATAAACCAACAGCCCGATACAACATAAAAACAATTTGTTTTAGTGACGAAAGTACTTTTTTTCTCATACTCAATTTTCAAAAAAAAAATGTTATGAAAGTTTCTATCAAAGATAAACGAATAGCACAACATAAAAGGGCTTTCAAGAATAGAAAACAGATTCGACATACGCACTTCACCTTCTAGATCATAATCATTCTTTTAATGACAAATTTAAAATTCTTCACATTCAAAATAAAGGCCTTAAGCTATCTTTGTTAGAATCTATGGAAATCAACAAATTAAAAAACACAGATATAATTCTGAATGACCAACTTGAGACAAACAGTTCTCCCCTCCTCAACCTATTTCATTAGAGACTATAAATTTGTAAATCCAAGCCAAAAATAGATCACTTGGGAAAGGCAATCAGCCGAAACAGCTGTAGTGATAAGATTTAAAATAAATTTTGTGGAAGTTTGAAAACAAAATTTTAAATGTTTTATTGTTACAGAAAACGCAGAAGTTACAAAACAGTTATCGGACCAATAATAACATACGCGGCAGAAACACGACCTGGCATTGAGAAACAAAAAAATGCTAGAGACAGTAGAGATTAAAACACTTCGCAAAATCGATGGTAAGACACTATGGGATAGAGCTAGAAATACAGATATAGGACGTAGATGCAAGGTGGAGAACATCAACGACTGGGTAAAAAATAGAATGGAACTAATAGAAGCCGAATAACAACAAATAGAGTGCTAAAGACGGCGAGAGACGGTTCGTTACGAGATATTAATGTTCAAATTGAGTATGTTGCTTCTGGCCTATATTAAGTCGCTCTGCCGCTTAAACTGTTCTGCCTGGTTTTAGGAGGTCTTTTTGGTTGTATATGAATATGCGGCACTTCAAACACCGATGTCATTTATATGTTTTGCGACATAGACAAATTTTTTCAAAGACGAAAAACATTTATTCCGAAATAAAAATATTTTTTAATAGTTTTATGTGTTCGAATAGATTTAGTTGATGGCCGAAAATTCTGTGTGTTTCTACATTCATGCGACAAAATTCAGATGATTGCTCTCGCTCGTATGAAATTAAGATGGGTCTTTCCTATAACAAAATTTCCACAGCCCACCCCTTAAGGATGAAATCACCCTTAAATGTGGTGACTAAAATTGACTTTTTAACTCTAAAGCAATTTTAGATAAAATTGATGTACACCCCAAAAAAGCAATAGCAAAAGCAAAGAATTGTCAACACCCCAATATCAACCATTCATCTGTTTGACGAGTTTTAAAAGAGCAGCAGTTTTATCCTAACCACATGCAACGGGTTTAAGCTCTTTTACCAAAAGATTTTTCTCAACTAGATATATTTTGTGAATGATTAACATACGAAATGCGACAAAATCCTCAATTTTTAAATAACGTATTGTTTATGGACTGGGATTAAAAATAAACACACAGAAAACCAAGTATATGTATTGTACTAGCTCAGGCAACAAATACCTAGACTATTAATTGATGATCTGAAAAAACTACCCAGAAAAATTAAAACTACCATATATAAAACACTAATAAGGCCAGTGTTAGCATACGGAAAGTTTAGAGAGAAAATTTCTAAGGAAAATATATGGAGGAGTCCAAGAACAGGGTTTGTGGCGTAGGCGCTACAACTTTGAATTATACAGAAGTTTTGGGGAACCTAACGTTGTAAAATTTATTAAATTAGTACGCCTTCGATGGATAGGATATGTAATTAGGCGAGATGAAAATGCAACGATCAGAAAAATTTTCGACCGAAGAGGGCCAGTGGGAAGACGATCCTGAGGAAGACCAAAACTTAATTATCAAGATACCATAGAGGATGATCTAAAATCCATCGGAGTTAAAGCATGGAGAAGAGTTGCCAGAGACAGGGGCGAATGGAAGATTGTTCTGAAGAAGGCTTTTGCTCATAACGAGCTGTAATGCCACTGATGATGATGATGATTGTTTATAGACGAGGCATATTTTTCAAGAGTAGCTATCATAAATTTTCACAATAATTATCCTTTATATTATAAGTATGTCAGACTAGAATCCTCATGAGCTTATTATTGGAATAACATTTTCAAAATGTTTTTTCAGTAAACGTATGGATTGGTATTGTAGGGGATAACTTAATTGGGCCACATTTTCTGCCTCGGGCATTAAATGGAATTTCTTACACCAGTTTTTTACAAAATGATCTCCCTGAACTACTTGAAGACTCCAGTATACTTTAGTCGGACTGCTAGACAACATATAGATGCAACATATCCTAACCGTTGGATTGGTCGAGGAGGGTCCCAACATTGGCCTCCTCGGTCTCCAGAGTTAAATCCTTGTGATTTCTGCTTTTGGGGTTAACTTAAATCTTAGTCTACACGACACCCATAGGTGATATCAACAATTTGAAGAATGGTATTCAAATAGCGTGTGACATCATAAGAAATACACGTCAAATCTTTGAACGTGTTCGGCAATCCATGACAGTAGGATACGTTCATGTATTTTGGCTAAAGGTGGTCATTTCCAGAATCTATTACGACTCGTATTACATTTTACATATTTACTGTTTTCTACTCATTCTATTTAAAAAATTATAAATTATGTTTATGTTTTTCCGCAGCTAGTTTATTTTCCGCAGCAGTTTTTGGGAAAAAATTTAAGAATACAAAAAACTTTAAAATAAAACAATGATTTTAAGTTAAATTTTTTTTCATTTAACTTCGTCTCGAAAAATCGTTTTGGTATGAAATCCTTGCTAATTTCACCTCCGTATAATGTAACAGGAACATTGAAAAATACCAGTGGTTAGTCCTTGCACGAAAATTACAAAATTTTAAGTTTCTAGCTTTACTGAAAAAAATTACAACTCAATTTTAGTCACTACATTTTAAGAGTGATATTACCGTTAATGGATGGGTTGAGGAAATTCTGTTATAGGAAAAAGCCTTCTCATACGAGCAATCACCTCCTGAATTTTGTCGCATAAATTTAAAAACAACCTGTATATATGTCCATTACGCCAAGAGTATTTGAAGTTGATAGATGTTTAGTATTGTTGCATGTTACAGCGTACCAGAAGTTTCTGAAAACAGCCAAACTATTGATATATAAAATGCTTTTTAAAGAAAGACGGTATTAGATTTAATTTCGATGCAGGGCATCCGCTAGCCGCTTATACGGATTTCAAACTCATTAGATCTCATCAGAGCGACATATGCAGTTACTCTGAATCGAAACCAAATATCTTCCGTGATAGGACAATAATTAGTTCGGTTTTTAGTTCGGCACAACTTTTTGTTTTAGTTTCGAAAAATATTAGGTACGGACAGGAGTGAATAAATACAACATTTATTACAAAAATCAAAAAGGATTTATTCAATAGTTGCAATATATACACAGTGTTTAAAAATATATACATATATAACAAAATACTGTTGATTTCATTAACAACTAATGATTTAACTTCTACTTTTTACATTAAGTAACCTTAACAGACTACGTCCAAATAACGAACAAACATTGGCACAAAAATTCAGGAACTATCACATCTCACATTGTAAACGTAGGTATATTTAAAAATATGTATATAATACAAAATACAAGTAATTCTACTATTAATACTTATAATTTAAAAGGAAAGGGTGGTACTATGTAAGTACCTAAATGGCAGGAATTTTCATTGTATGTTGAAATATGCCACAGATCCATTAATTTTATGCATCATTTCTTTCTGCAACATTTAATGCCTTTCTTTGATTTTTATTATAAAGGAACAAACATTACAAACAATGTACCAAAGATAAAAAATTAAGTAGAATTTTAGGTCATAAAGAGATAGAACCAAATATTTAAAACTAAAGTCCAAATCAGAAATCAAAAGATAAAATAATTGATGATTATTGTTACATACAAAAGATAAAAGTTTAATTTACAAACTTTACACAAGTAGTAATATATTTATTAAAAGGCAAAACAAGAAGAATATTCCAAGTAGAAGAACAATGTAGGGAGTAGATGATAACTAGGTGTAGAACAAAAATCACAAAAAATAATGAATAGCAAATTCTCCATAACTATGTAAATAGGCTTTCACGGCCAGTGGTATGTAAATAGGCTTTCACGGCCAGTGGTTTGTAGTCATGCCTTATCATAAACCTATGGTTTATAGAGAATTACTGGAATTATTTTTTACTGACGTTTCTTCTGTGGTGAGCATTATCAAAAGCGATGCTGCAACTGTCTCAATTAATGGGGGGCAGTTACGGCTGTCGCATCGCCTTTGGTAATGGCTATTGCAAGTGGAGATTAAACGTCAGCAAGAAATAATTCTAGGCAACGTATAAACCGTGAACTCGATATATCATTATGGAAATACAGTGTGCAAAATCTATAATCCATCTAAGAAATAAAACAATGTAAAAAAATAAGCGCAGGGAAATGTAACTGGCGAAATAGGCTATCGCAGATGTTGGAAGTGGTCACAGTAAAATATCCGGAAACGAAGAATACAACAGAATTTTAGAAATTAATGATAAATATATGATAGAAAACAATTATTATAACACAAATTCAAATGTACTCAAATAATTTATAAATGTAAGATACGAAAAAAATAAGCTCAGCTCAGGAAAACAAATTCTTAAAAACAAAAGGATCAAAAGTCATTTTAAAACCCACGGTATGAGAGAATAAAGAAAACAATAGTTGTAGCATAAAAGAAACATAAACGATGTTGTTAAAAGAGGATAAAGAAACGAGAAAGCCAAACGTAGAAAAAATTACGATATGATCTATAAAAATGAAATGAAACAAACAAAAAGAAAATATATAAAAGAAAAAGCTATTATTTCAGGAAGATAACCAAGGCGTAGAATAAATCTGGCGAAGGACAAAAGAAGTTATAGCTATAACAAATGATAACATCATTCTGCAAAACAATCAAAATAAAAAAAAGATGAAGAATAAGACAATTGACACTAATAAACAAAAATGATACCCTGAACCAACATTACAGGGATCAAAGAAGAAAAAATAATATGCTATGATATGTATATGGGAGAAAAGAGAATAAATTAAATAGAAAAAGATTCCAGAAAAAAAGACAGTCTTTACTTTTACCAAGAGATTAAAGATATTGAAAAAGATATTAGAATTTTAATACATACATGAAAAAAGTAGACGGAAGACGGCTAACGAGTAAAAAAGAAGCAGTGATGGGTATTTGGAAAAGACATTTTCGAGAACTATTGAACAGACAAACTACTGACAATAAACAAAATCATTTTATAGAAAAAGATGACACATTTTTGGAAGTACCTAATAAAGAAGAGACTAAAAATAAAATAACGGTATAATAGCGGCAGAAATGTTAAAAAATAGAGGTGAAGAGCTTCAAAAAAGGCTTCTCTTATCAAGAGAATAAGGGAATAGGAAAATATGCCCAAAGACTGGAGTAAGTAAGTTCTTCCCTATATAAAAAAAGGGGGATGTATTATCAATATATTGTCGTTACTAAACTTATGACAAATCTCGTAATGAGCGGAAATATAACTATTGAAAATAATACCATGCAACACACAAACACTTACAAATACCTGGGACACGAGATCAGAATAGGCAGAGACAATCAAACACATGAAATACAGAGGCGAACATGCGTGACATGAGCAGCATTTGGCAAACTAATAGCCATACTCAAAAAGCGCAATTCCCATGGGTCTCAAGCGAAAGGTTTATAACCAATGTGTTTTGCCCGTATAAACTTATGGAGCAGAGACTTTAACAATTACACAACGAACCATGGAACGTGCAATGCTAGACTTCGAAACATAATAAACCAACAAATCGGGCAAAGAATATGAGTTTAAGACGTCATCGAAAGAATCACAACGCTTAAGTGGAACTGGGCTGGGCACTTAGAATACAAGATGGACGGTGGATAAAACGAATCATTGAATGGAGGCCCACAAAATGGCTACAAGTGGACTAGTGTAGAGAATACTAAAAAGAACTGAGGGAGGCCTATATCCAACAGTGGACGCGATTGGCTGATTAATACTTGCTTTGTTGGATACCTGTTATAAGATACTGTCGAGTATGCAAAGGTAGGAGAATTTAGATTTAAGAGATCAGTTAGGAATCAATTTTTTACACTAAAAGAAATCGAGAACACCTACTACAAGCGAAAGATACTCCATTCGTGGTTCGTATATTTTAAAACAAGGATTTTTTATATTTATATTTCGAATATTTAAAACATTGAGAAATAAACAAGGATAAGTCGTGATACTCGGAATGCTATTTTCACATGCTAAGGAAGTAAGGGGATATAAATTTGACATCGTGAACTACTTAAGTTATCTGTCAGTTATTATAGACGAAGAAGGACTTACATAATTTGAGCTAAAAACCAGATTGGCACAGGAAAACAAAAAAAAATTAATATCACTGTTGAAATCCAAATAGTATCGAGAAAAACAAGGATAAGAATTTATAAGACGGTAATAAGACTCACAGTGACATATTATGGTCGTGAAGTAGGAACAATCATATGCGAAGAAATTTCAAATATGGGAAAGAAAAATGCCCGAAGCTATATACTGAGGCAAAAATACGGTGGAAGATTTGATACAACGAACAAATAAGGAGGTAGAAGTACTGTTTAATGAACCTAACATCAGACACTTCATAAGCTCACAAAGAGTGAAATCGATCGTATATGTGATAAGAATGGATGACATGATGCTAAATATGATTCTATAATAGTTTCTAATCACGAAAAGAAGGGACGTACAAGACAAAAAGATGGTTTGATATCATCAACAGAGATAAGTGGAGGAGAATAGTAATCAATTTGGTAGACAAGAAACATGATTAGACTAGAAGTTACCTAAATGAACAATGTGTATATTTTTGAAATATGTAATGATGTATTTGTATTTTAGCCACAGACCTCTTAAGCCTCTTAAGCATTGAAAATAAATAACATTTAGTTATTTGATAGAGTTGATTATTTCAGATAACCACACGACACTGAAATAGAATAAATTAACATCACAAAACAGTGTCAAAAAGAAATTGCATGCTTCAATATTCAGATTTGGGACCACCTGATAAAAGTTTCAACTTCTCTTTTAAGAGTATCTCACTAAACTCAGACGTGTAGCCATCGATAATTCAGCTTGCGATAACATTGTTTAATAGACAAATGACATGGAATATAAAACTTTTCTTAGAAAGGCAGCATGTTTTTCAAACAAAAGATACATACATTTCACTAATAACTTTACGTTAACATTTTTGTGGCATAAACGTAACCACTGATATAAAGTACTTTTCACATCCTTAAAAGATCACTTTCCGAACCGGAATCGAGATTAGCCTTTGCCTGTCGCAACACTTGACTTGTTTTATGGATCTGACTACAAATTGTTTTTTCCACTTGTCGCTTGCGTTGATTGGCTAAATGAAGTTGATTGGCCGTTTCTTCGAGTGCTTTTTTCATTCGAAACAGTTTACGTTTCAGATCGTTGTTCTCGTTGGCTATTTCGATAGTACGTTGGCAGCAATGCTGGCGGTCTTCTAAAAAAAATAAAATGTTATTACATTCATAAACTTATTATATCAAGCTAATTTCGTCTCGTGTGATCATCAACAATTAAAATACTTTGGATATGTGATGAGAGCAGACAAAGAAAACACGAAGACTTATTATCCAAGGAAAGGTAGAAGGACGACGATCACGAGGAAGAATCCCAACGGGATGGATTGATCAAATTACGGGAATATGCAAAAGACCTAAGAATTAGTTAAAACAAATGACCAGAGACAGAGATCTTTGGAGACAGACAATACAAGACATCAAGATAATGTATGGTGCCGGTGTTCACCCACACCCACCTACAGTGCCGATCTGAATCATAACAATGATTGTATTATCTTCTTCAGCGGTTACCTTTTTATTAGCATCGCTCAGACATAATTCAAAATATATTTATAGAATTATATAGAATTGTATTATATAGAATTCAGAAACAGCCTCAAACATTAAACAACTTAAAAATTGTTTTCATCAAAACGTATGGATATTTTATGTCAATAAACAATAATTTACTCTGTTTAATTTTACTTAATGTTTTATTTAAATTAGTTGCAATACTCTTTTGACGAGCAGTTTACTTTTATAGAAACATGTTAATATTAAGAAAAATGGTCCCTTACCGCAATTAGATTTTTCAATCGGATTATTGTCTCCGTCCAGCAAATTGTTCATAGATTCTGTGAGCTCTATGGTCTGTAACAATGGTCTACTGATACTATTTTGGTGTATTTCTAAACTAGAGAACCTTCCTTGGTCACTTTCGATTCCTAAATCAGGAGATGCACTGGCTTCTTGTCTATCCATTTCTCCCGGTTGTCTATTTCTCGCTACAGAATTGTTCAAATTGTATCTGTAAGAAAGAAATATAAAACAGTTGAATTTTACTCAGTATTGGATGAATATGTATTATTAGAAGTATACAAACCACCCGGTAGCGCAATGAGCCGATAGGTCATTTTCAGAGCTTACGAATTGGTAGAGGTGACATTCTGATAAATTAGGTAAATATAAGGACAATCAAGCAGACTTTACTTGGTAATGACATTTACTCAACACACGCCACATAGAATACAAAATATTTACACCAAAAAAGAAAACTCCCCCGTCGTGTAAAAAAGCTGTTAGGTAGCATATTTGCTATAACTGACTATCTACAATACATAATTATAAAAAGGGTATTAGGTTTGGAAGAAAAAATTACATTGGAGATAATCTATTAAATTGGTTATAACATTAAATATATTTGTTATCAAAAGATTGGAAGATGTAGAACTACAAAGGAAGTGTTTTTAGATTAAAAGTAAAAAATCCAACAATTTGAAGAAAGATGGCTCTCTTTAAAATGATTACAATTTAAATATTAAAAAAGGACAAGAAACAAATTGGGAGAACAACTAATGTAATATTCTTATTCTTGTGGTGTCATATCAATTTCACATATTAATGATCATAATTGACTTTATAGCTATTCGAAACAGATCTATTGAATCAAGTTGTTAGGTTATGGAGCCAGAAAATACGCCAACATTCAAGGGGGCCCCTCTTACCAAATATTAATAACTAATTAAAGTAAAAAATAGTTCACATAACTTCTTATAATATGGGAAAAGTCAGTCTGGAAAACCTATTTCCAAACTGTCCTATGGACGCAAGAAAATGAAGAGCATATGGGCATGCATCACATTGAGAGAGAGACACAGAAAATATAGAACCCCCGACGATGGAAGAGGTAAAACAAGCAATACTAGCACAGAAGAATAACAAAGCTCCAGGTATTGACAATGTCCTCTCTGAGCTATATAAATTAGGTGTTTAACACCTAGTAAGACAAATGCATACGCTATAGCGACTGAAAAACAATCTATAAAAAGAGAATAAACTGAAAGGCGAAAATTATCGCGGCATAACCCTCTTATGCACAGCGTACAAAGTTTTTACTTATATAATAAATAAACGACTCCAACAACTAACTAAAAATATTGTCGGGGAATATCAAACCGGTTTCCGACAAGGATGATCTACAACTGACCAGCTATTCACAGTGAAACAAGTTCTAAATAAATCCTGGGAATACATTGACGTCCACAACATATTAATAGATTTCAAACAGGCCTACAACTCAATTAATAGACAAAAGATATATCAAATATTGTATAGCTTTAACATCCGACTAATAAAAGCAACAATGGACTCGTCAACAGTAACTGTCAGAGTGCAAAATGAGCTTACTGAGATATTTTCAATAGTCAAAGGATTAAAACAAGTAGACGGGCTGGCACCAACACTATTCAACCTCGCTCTCGAGTATGTGATAAGACAGCTGAATATGGGAAGAGGTAATCTAACAAATAAATCAATACAGATTACCGCTCATGCAGATGACATTAGCATTATGTCTCGCAGAACAGAAGAGGTGGATATTAAAACTGTAAAAAGTTTCACATATTTGGGAGTTACATTAAACACGGATAGAACATAAGAACCAGAAATTCAAAGAAGAATAGTAAAGGGAAACAAAACTTACTTTTCACTCGCCCATGTGTTCCCCACCAAAAACACACTGGAGATCGAAAATCAGGGTCTACAAGACTATTACCAGACCAATAGTAGATGCGAGACACGGGTGATGACAGAAGACACAAAACGAAAGCTGGAAGTCTTCGAACGAAAAGTCCTAAGGAAGATATTTGGGCCTATTAATAAAACCGGAGAATGGAGATTCAGGTACAACCATGAACTCTACCAACTGTTCAAAGAGGCACCCATCTCCGTTAAACTTCAGAGTTCGATGGGCTGGTCATGTAGTGAGAATGGAGACTGGAAGATTGCCAAAAGGAAGGCCAAAGAAAAGGTGGGAGGATGAAGTGGCAGCGGACGCGCAAAATTTGCTAGACATGAGAACCTAGAAGATCGGCGCGAGATTGACAAGGATGGAGGCATATCTCGGAGGAGGCCAAGGCTCGAATTGGGATATAGCGCCATTGGAGAGAGAGAGAGAGAGATGTGCCAAGTACTCACATTTCCGATTTTTTTTTTATAGTGATGAGCACTTTACATTATTTTCTGATTCTACGGAGAATTCCAGAATTTGTCAGTCGATCAACCAATGAGATTCGCAGTGTTCGAACCATGGAACGTGCAATTAATTAGTCTGTACACTAATCTAAAAACCATTCAGCTTCTTCATCAATGGCTCCGAACGCTACAAACTTTAACTCCGTATAGCAAATCCGGAATGTAGCATTTAAGTAGTAACATTTTTTTGGAAAAAATAGGTCTCGACTTTTGAAAATTGGGTTTATCTTAATAAAATTCTTACCTAAGCCTTTGCTATCCGTTGTTTACCTCTACAAGTAGTATAGTAGCTCATAAATATAACTCACGTGACTACTGATTGGTACCCACATGAAGTTCAATAAAAAATAAAATAAAAATAATGAGACGTGATCATTATATTTACTCGAAGTAGAATGGGCTAAATTGAAAGATAATAAAATTAATGATAACCATCAAACCAAATACCTGAAACACCTATGAAATAGATACGTACAAAGCAAAGACAGGAACACATTTTCAGGATTGAATGTACAGGACACACTGTAAGGCGCATGAAGAATGCCTATAAAAAAACACCTGAAAATAAATAGTTTTTACATGTCTTGTTACACAAAACAAAGAAAAAAAGAAAGGAGGGCAACGATAAAGCCGTGGGGAAATTAGTAAAGTCGTGCTAGAGCAGAAAATTAACATTGATATATCTTAAGATAAAGACTACCTCCGAATACATGCAATTTAAGGGGATAGTTCTGCTTAGTAGAGCAAAAAATAATGAATACGAATTATCTAAAAATAAATTACCTACCCTATACATTCTTCTATATTATCCTCCGAACTATAACTGGGATGAGAGAATTGTCTCTGAAATCCGCCACTTTGTTGATATCTCCCACCGACAGTACTTAAATTGGGCATTGTCGCTGAAAGTTCAACACGGTTGGTTCGTACAAAGCGGTTGTGTAATTCCGCGTTGTTTGATTCCAAAACGCTTATTTTCACTTGTAGCTCTGATTTTTGTTTTTGTAATGTAGAAATTTGAGCTTGGTAATTTTGCGATACACTCTCGAACTCCGACCGAATTTCTGCCAATTGTTTTTTGAGTTCCATGTCTCTTGCACTGTATCTGAAACAAAGTAATATTAATATATTTTCTATATATTAATATCTATATACATCTTACATATATACGTACTGTATACTACTTAAATAGCTATTTTAAGAGGTAACAAAAATCTGATATTTTATCTTATACCGTAAATATACTATGTACTAGGTGGTCTGATAAGTAAGATCTGTTGAAATGAAAAACATGTTTTTTTAGAAAATTTTTAAAATTTTTAGAAAACACATAATAATCGGAGGGGTCAAATCAAGAGGATAAACCGAATAAGAAAGAAATTTCAAGCCAAACTCAAGAATTCTTGCCATTGTTACACTCTTGTGAATCTCTGCAATGTCTTGGAGAAACAGCACTTTTTTTCTTTTGCATATGGAGCAGTTTTTCACTGACTTACTGCTTCAATTTGTCCAATAAGGCCCAATAATATTGGCTATTGATAGTTTTATCTTTTTCAAGATAATCAATTAAAATTATGCCTTTGTAATTCCAAAATACAGTGGTAATAATGTGTGTTCATTCTGTTCTCTGGTGTATAGTAGGGATTCAGGTTTCATCAACGGTTACCAATCGACATGAAAAGTCCAAAGGATTACTCTTCATAATTATCATTACGAAATTTCACTTTACGATCAGCTAGAACCATATCAGCAAAAAAAATGAAAAAATGAAAATTGGACAAGCTAGAGCAACATTTAACAACATGAGAAAAGTATTATGCAGTAGAGACCTTAGTTTGCAACTCAAAATAAGAATTTCACGTTTATATGTGTTCTCGGTTATGCTGTATGGCGTGGAGGCCTGGACCTTAAAGAAAGAGGTAAGCCATCGACTTGAAGCATTCGAGATGTGGACCTAATGAAGAATATTAAAAATAAGTTGGGTAGACTAAATAACAAATGTTGAGGTCCTCAGAAAGATGACAAAGGAAATAATGGAAATCATCAATGCGATTAAGATAAGAAAGTTACAATATATCGGCCGCGTTAATACAGGAAAAACGAAGTATTGGAAGAAGACGCATCTCCTGGCTTAACAATCTAAAAAAGTGGTATAATTGCAGTTCCATTGACTTGTTCAGAACTGCAATCTCAACAGTGAAAATAGCTGTGATGATTACCAACCTCCTTAGAGGAGACGGTACCTAAAGAAGAAGAAAACCATTTCCTGCATTTGCTTCACACTTTCAGCTGAAACTGCATCGGAGGGCCGTCTAGTGCCTACGTGGTTTATCCAATGTAGACATGCGGCCCCTACGAAATTCACGGAACCAAAATTTGACAGTGTTGTCTGAAAGAGCATTAGTCTCATAATATTTTCTTCCGATTCCTTCGCCGTTCTTGAAGTAATAATGTTTAATAAGAGATCTAAAATTATTTTTCTCCATATGCGCTATTTTTTCAATACGTCAACTTTATGCAGCTGCCAAAAATATACTAATGGCTGCATCGCCCTAAAATTTGACATTCGTACCTAAAAAAGGTTAGACTTTCTAGAACTAATATTTGTTTGATATTGCACCGCCTTATTCGGTGAAGGAGATAATTTATCAGACCTGTAGATGGTTGAATTTAATGTCATGATAAAAGTAAACAAGGATAGACAATGTTAACTAAAAAACAAACCTAGTACGGTTGTTTAATGGAGCAGTTTTGGAAACTGTAATATATTTTTACTTTAACAAATTCAAAAGAAATCTCCATTAACGTTCAGACATGTCCCATTGTTTAACCAATCTATATCTTTCTGCTGAATCATTCTTCAACCGCATAACATAATCATAATGAAACCGCATAATGAAATAACATCAAATAGTGACAATTTAGATGAATAAAATATAAAAGGCGGGTGTTCTAAAATATCCTACTTCAAACGTACAACTAGATCTTGAACTATATGAATTGCCTAAACTCAAACATTATTATGCAAACGGCTCATATAAATTGTGAGATTAACAGCGTTAATGTTAAGACAGGTTCTTTAAAAGTCAAGAGCAGGACAAAATGGTATTAATAAAAAAAAATAACATCGCCACTAATTTTTCTACTGTTCTAATCTGTTCTGTTCAATAAACATACGTGGTAACATAGATTAATAAATATGTGATAACCAAAAACCATGAATTGTAAAATAAACAGTTAGTTCTCACACTTATATTTAACAGCATCATATGCACCATTTGCGAGTAACCCAGTTGTTTCTTCCTTCCGAAATTTTCTGACCACTCAACCATTGTCGCATGATAATAACTTTAGTTATTTGAAGAATTACGGTACCGAAGTGGAAAATGATGCGTCACGCCAAAAACTAAGATATAACACCCATATAGAACCTCCTTTAATATTGAAAGTGAGAGACGCAATCACACGTCTCAAAAATAATATGTCCAGAGAATGGACTGCATCCTCGCAGAGCTCATAAAACATGAAGGTAATAGTATTATACATCAAATTCACAACATATTAGTCAAAGTGTGGGAAGAAGTTACAGAGGTATGATCTAGCATATGAAATATGCCAGAGGAATCATACAATGTCCACTACACAAAAATTGAGAATTTTTGGAACGTAAAAATTATAGGGGTATAACTCTGCTGAACCCCATATACAGAATATTCTACAAAACCTTGTACAGCCGTTTAAGTGCATACGTGCAAGAACTCCTTGGTGAATATCAAAGATGTTTTAGGTCAAGTAGGTCAATAATTGACCAGATTTTTGAGCTACGTCAAATCTTAGAAAAAAAAAAACAATGAATTTAATATTGGTACGTTTATACGAACTACAAAACGAACAATATTAAACAGTTGTTTTTTGGTTTTTCATTTAATAGTGTATTTATCGAGATATTAGAGACCATTTCCATAATTTTCCATTTATATCGAGATATTAGAGAACATTTCTAACAATTCGAAAAAATGTCTGGAATAAAAGTTACTTATTTTGGTTGTCCAAATTAAGTTTCTCCTTTTCTAGATCTGATATATTGGTGCGCAATCCTCGAGAAGCTTGGAGGCTATTGCTCACCCTGGATCTATAATCCGTGGTATTTTTTTTTCTTGGCCTCTAACTCGGCCTCAATTTTCTGAATCTGGTCCTTCAATCCAAGAATAACGCTATTTAATTCGTGGACACATTTATTTAAAATTACTGATTCGAGACATTTTTTCTCGAGACGATTTATTAATTGTTTGATAAATTCTTTACTTATATTGTCTATCTATGGATGAACATTTCTTCATTTAATGTAATAAAAATAATTCGTGAATGATGCCATACATGTGTAAAGACTAGCACCGCATTGACCTACATTAATTTTAATATTACCTGCTGAGTTCTTGCTCTAACCATGTTTTTTCATTGGCTAACTTGGTTTTCTCCATAACGGCTTCGGAATATTGCAAAGTAGTTGAATCTAGTTCTTTCCTCAAACCAATAACTTTTTCTTGGCTTTCCGAGACCTTGTTATTAAACTCTTGCTCTTTTGTTTTGTACGATTGTATGGTGGATTCATAGCCTGTAACAACATCATTAAGGCTGTCTAATTCGTGTATTAACCTGTTCACTTCGGCTAATTTTTCTTCGGCGTCTGATCTTCTGATATAATTTCTGGAATAATTATCTTGAACTTCTTTAATTTTTTGGAGGAATATTTGAGAGCACTCATTCTCAATTTTATTTATTTTTTCAGCTGCCTTGTGTTCAACCTCACTAAGTGACTTAGCCTGTTCTGTTTCTACCTTTTTCACAAACTCTTCCATTTCTTTCTTTAGCACTATTCTCAGTTCTTCACATTCTTTTTGTTTTGCTTCAACGTCTTCTCGGGTTTTTTCTATAATCTGAAAATAGACAAATAATGTAAATAAACTAGAAAAGAATAAAGCGCTGAAATATACGGAATTAATAAATAAAAATTGAATGCTCTCATTATCGAAAACATATCGGATATATCAAATATGGTAAACCAGTGTCAAAAAGAAAAGTGTGTCATAATAACTATAATTAGAGATCGCATACTGGATCGGAACAATGTGGAATAGATCTGAATGGCTTGTACTGCGAACTCAGGAATTTTTTTCTGTGGTTGAGTCTACTCCAGTATTCTTCTTCTTCTTATGGTGCCCTATCCAATTAGTGGCAAAATTCTGGCATACTACTCTCGATCTTGTGTGGCTCTAAAAAGTGCATGGGCATCGAGGTTTGTCCAATCCCTTATGTTTTTAAGCCATGAGTATTTCTTTCTTCCGATGCCTCGTTTTCCTTTTATCTTTCCTTCCATAATAAGCTTTAAGAACTGGTACTTGGAATGGACTAGGACTTGGACTCCAGTATTCACTGGAATATTTTCCGAGATGTGCAGCATGTTCAGGTATCATTACAGTTATTTTCTGTACAAAATAAGATCAACGCAGTTTTGTAATTATTGTGTAACATAGAAACGAAAAAACTGAAAACATCAAGTAATCGCTATATTTTACGGAATGCCATCAAATAGATACTTTTGTTTAGACCAGGAGTCAACGATATGATTTTACATTTAGTCATAATAAATTACTTGTATACAATTTACAGCGATTGACTAATGAGTGGAGATACAGAATTTTCATTGCTCGCAGAAAATAAAGCACGTTTTAATCAACATAAAAGGTGCTGAAGTACAATTTTATTATGAGGGTCTTTTATTAGTTAAGTTAAAGAACCATATATTTACTATACCAAACTTTGCTGGTAATGTTGCTGCTATATTGTAATAGCTGTTTAGGTGATGCGCTGAAATTGTTTCTGTCTAACGTTTTGTCTACTATAGACACAGACATTATCAAAGGAGGTGCGGAGAAAGAAGTTACATTCTTTTGCTCCTGTCTCACTAACCAATGACAGAAGATTGTGCCCGCCAGCATCATCTATGATGTGTTTGTAATAGAAACAATTCCCGGCCACGACTTATAAACCCGATATCAACGCACTTATTGACATCAATTATATTGCCATTATTTAGCTACTTCAAATTTTTTTAACAGATGTTAATGATTTAATTTATAAAACCTTAAAACTTTTTTTTGTCATTCCTAAAAAGTTATACTTTTGGAATCTTTTATGTATTATTATTATACTATAAGTTACTTCCTAGTTTTCTTAACAAGACTATATATTTAAAAATTGTGATTTAGCACAATTTTGAAGACAACTTATGACTGCTAAGCTCTCAAATAGGCACCAATTATTTTAAACCCTTTAAAAATAATTATTTTATTTTTGTCTTTCTTTAAAAATCCATAAATCGACAGTTAATCATACAATTAGGCTTCGCCAAAATCTAAACAAATAAGCGAACTAGATCCCTGAACTTATTGGAACGAAAAAAAGAGTGTGTGTAATGCCACAATAAACAAAAAGTTATTACTTATTGAAGCTTTGAATTGAATATTTGGCTTTTAAGAATTTAAATAAGAGCTAATAATTAACCAAATGATCAGTTTAATAATAAGGTAACAATAAAACACTGTAAACTTTGTTTTCAAAACTTCCACAAAATTTATTATAAAATCTTATCACTACAGTTGTTTCGGCAGAGTGCCTTTCTCAAGTGAAGCCTTTCTCAACTTCACTTGAGAAAGGTACTCTGCCAAAACAGCTGTAGTGATAAGATTTTATAATAAATTTTGTGGAAGTTTTAAAAATAAAGTTTTCAGTGTTTTATTGTTACATAAAATGTACTTTCATCAAGTAACGGTCGAATCCATCAATTAATAATAAGGTACTAAAAAAGAAATTAAGAAGATAAACAATTTATGATGTAAATTGATAGAAGAAAATACTTTATTGCATAGAATATTTCGTTGTTCTAAAATTTCTTAAGGATATTTTTACAAACCTTTTCTAAGTTATCAGCCATACGAAGCTTCTCTAATGTTTCAACTTCAAGAAGGTTCATCAAGTTTTGTACTTCCTTATTTTTAACAACTAAATTTTCCTTCAGTTCTTCCTTGGACTTGTTTAGTTCTTCTACTTGTTCTTTGAGATCAGTTACTTGGTTTTCCAATTCCTTTTTGAGAGATTCGATTTGCAGTATCTTTCTTTCACTTTCTTCTAAACTGCTCTTTACTTGTTCGTATAATTCTCCAGCTACCATTTGTTTTAATTGTTCTGAACGCTGCTCACATTCAACCCGAAGCTCACTTACTTGCTGCTGAAGTTCGGCAACCTGTAAACAAATTATAAAGAGTTTAAAATGATATTTAATTCATTAACAATTATCAAAAGTACCACAATGGTTACGTTCCGTCATAATTGATTTTAAATTGAAAATATATTATTAATTGACTAATATCAATATCATCTCTTAGCCCAGCTTCTCTACTATTAGAAATATGAGGCAACGCTTATCCGTCAATTTGGTGTTGGCCAAAAAATTCCGCAATGTTCGTCCTAATTTTCATGGCTACTGAAGAAACTATGACCAACAAATCTGATTAACTTTATTAACTGTTAAAATTATAAAAGGAGAATTATCAATTCACAGCTGCCACGTATATTCAACACTAAAACTATTTGCTTACATTTTTCTCAAGAATATTTTAATTCCAACGTAAAAAAAACGATCAACTTGAATACTGTTCCTCTCCACATATAAACCTATTTTTTTTTCGCAAGTCTAGTTGCCGTGTCTACTCAAATATAGTCTCTGCAGTCTTCTAAGTATATCTTACTTTTTAAATATAAATGTTTGAAAAAACATACAGAAGTTAAAACACTTTACAATTGTATTTTGGTATAAAAACATGTGGTTAAAACTTTTTAAAAAGTTTCGTCAAAATTTATGTAGTAGCATAACGTTTTCGATCTAATCAGATCATCCTCAGTGTCTTATGTAGTTGAAGCTAACAATAAAGTTGTAGCTGTGACATCCATATATGGCTTTACATCATTCTAGGTCGATGACATTGGATAAAATTTATTACTTTACGGACTACATGTCTCCCTGCTCGATTTTTAACACGTGGTACTTGTCAGTTAAAACGACACAGACCAACTGGCTGAGGTGACAGGAATATAATTTAAGAAGACAGCTAAACATGATGAGGTATGGATGTGTTCCGAAACTAATGTAATTTTTTAATTATAAAAATTATAAAATTTATTTTGTTGTAATAATACCTAATATCTTATTAATGAAACTGTAGTTAAAATTAAATTTACTATGAAAATTAAGGCAATTATATCGAGCACAAGTTTAATTAAATCTTGCTTGTTTAATTAAATCCCTACTCCATGTACGTTATAAGACGGGTATTTTATAACAAAAATCGACCTGTTTCAGGATTTCCCTCAAAACTCGACGGTTCCCGGAATAATGATAATATTCCATAATTTAGCCGTTCACTGTATAGTTCTTTCGTGTTTGATTATATCTTACAATATTACAACTTATGATAAGCATACCTCTTATATCCATTAATAGATAATGTCTTCATCCAACTTATAGTTTCCTCTTCCTATATAAAATTATAGTGGTATGTTGATATTGGTGTCAAGGATTTAATGAATTTTATTTCATTTGTGTACGTGATCTTGGAAAATGTTTTTCAGAAATAATCCATATTACATATTTGTATTTTACAAGAATAATAAAATAAAACAGGAATGTTACATACTTCGCGAAAATACGTATTTTGATATAAAAATCTGTATTTCGAAAATTTGTTTTTCTGTTAGAATAGAATTATATATAATTAACATATACACATAATTTAACAAAAATCTTTTTTGATACTAATTAGATCTATTACTGTACGTATAAATGAGAACTCATCACTGAACAATAGTAATTGGAGTAAGACGATAGATTTGTCAAGTTGATAATAAAGAAAGCTAAATAGATATTATGAGGTAGCCCAAGATACAAAATAAATGTTGAATATAATTTCTTACCTGTTGTTTTTCATAATACAGCTTTAACTTTGGACTAACACTGCATGCAGAATCATCTTCAGTACTTTCACTCAGACGTGTCACTTTGGTAAAACTAGTATTTGGAAGCGACTGATTTAAACCCATTCGGGCCCTGGAAACTGTCCTGTCAGGCTCTGACCACCCTTCTGATTCCGAATGGCATTCACTTTGGTATTTCAACGTCGTCGATGTGGTATTACTTTTGGTTGGAGTAACATATTTCGATAGTTCTCTACAATAAAAAATAAACCATATAATTTTATACAGACTGCAAAAAAATATTGATATCTAAGCTAAAAGAAACAAGAAACAATTAACATGATAGTTCCTAGAATATGATATTAAGATGATGGGCAATATAAACGCAAACATAGGAAAGGAAGATATAGTAAATTTCCACCTTTCCTACACGTTCGATTATACAATACTTTGGGGTGACAAAACAAATAAAAAAAGTCTCGAAACAAAATCGAGATATTCCCATATAACTGATGTTAGCTTTATTAGTTATATTTACTATTATATATTAAATATATAAATATATATATATATATATATATATATATATATATATATATATATATATATATATATATATATATATAGTAACACCTCCCTTAACCGAAACATTTTTAACCGAAATCTTTTTAACCGAAACGGCTGACAGTTTCAATAATTTCGTCAATAAACAGTAATTTTTTATCGCAAAACGTAAACAATTGCATTAATTTCATTCTCGGATTAATGCCTATGTGTGTTGGGGAATAAAAAAACTAAGAACTCTAAAAGATATTTCCGAAAAAGTACTTCCAGTTTTTTATAGAAGCCAAAAAAGCTTATGGATGTCGACCACTTTATTTTTAGAATTGTTGATGAAATGAATTCATCGCAAGTGTAAAATTCTTTTTAAAATCAAAAAACCTTTCCATCAAAGTAGTGTTGCTTCTTGACAATGCGCCAACTTAGCCTCTACAAAATGGTGACAATTGCCAGATTTTTGCCACAGAATTTCATGAGCTTAATTCAGCCGTTAGACCAGGGAATAATAGATAGATTCAAGAGACATTATAGGATAGCATTCTTAAGGCATCTGTTATTACAGGAGACGAATGAATCCAAAAGTGTTCCCGAAATTTTCCAATCTTTAACAATGAAACATGTTGTTTATTGGTCTGTTGAGTTGTGGGCCAAGATCAAATCTTCAACTTGGGAAAAATGCTGGAACATACTTTTTGATAGTATTTTGATTGACGATTCTAAAGAAGAAAATGGTAAAGAAACGAAAGAAAAAATGAAACCTTTAATAAAACGTGACGAAATTAACCAAGAAGAGATACGTGAGTGGTTAGCAGCCGATTACTCAGAAAGTGAATTCATCAACCAGGATTGATATCGTTCTTCATCCAGACAACCTGAGCGTATCAGACGACGAAGATGATAAACCAACTGCCAGACAACAGGCAGCACGAGACCGCCGACGAGATTTTCAATGCCTTAGAGATATTTTATACAGTAGGCCTAATTAGTTAGGGACACGACTAGGTTCTTAATTTTTGTTTTCATTTCGTAAAGTTCTGTCCTTTTCAGATTGCTTTACGTTTCGTCGAACTATCAAATGAAGCAAATTCATGGCGTTCGGAAAATGAACGATGAAGAGATATAGCTGCAAAACATCGTTGTCAAACAAAAACGCAAAAAAAATAGAAGATTTCTTTAAAAAAGCATGTTAAACTTGTTCATTTTCCTTTATATTATTTTATTCTGTATTTACTTATGCTAGATAAAAGTTCAGCAAGTAATGGTATTTCAGCGGAACTATTTAAACAAATGTAAAAGAGAATTATTAACATAGAAAAAGTATAAAATAAATGGGGAAAAGGGTACAATACGTTTTAAGTTAGGGATAGACTTGGACAAGGTGGCCCGTTATTAAAGGGAACGATATTTAATCTCGTTTTACAAAAAGTAATGAAAGGCTTAACATTTCCCAAAAGACTACAATGTCTAGCTTATTTGGACGATTGTGTTTTGTAGTATTAAGAATTAAGAAAGAACCAGGGAAGTGGTTATACGGTTAAAAAATGTAGCACAAAAATATCGACTCACATTGCTCGACAGAAAATTTGTATTCTAAGTGAAGTTGATATTCAAGCTTTAAAACAAATGGGAACGAAGAATAAACTATGAACTAAGAGAGCTGTATATAGAAAAAAGTATAACCGGGTAAATTAAATCCCACAACACAAGTGATAAGAATGCCAGCTAAAAGAATGCTGAGGCAACAAACTTTAATAAGTAAAATTGGAGGAACAAACAGGAAGAAGAATATCAATTCATAGATGGAGAAATAGAGAAGTTAAATGTAGGCAAGTGGAAGAAGCAAAAGAACAGGTCATAAATCTAGGAAAAGAGATTAGAGATAGAGGAGTAAGATTAACAAACTGATGAAAAAGCTAACACAAAAAAACATAAATAATGTTAAATCTTTTTTTAAGAATCAGCAGTAGAAAAATGCTAGAAAAAATAAAAAGGAGATCAAAACAGAATTCAAGGAACAAGAAAATTGAAAATTAATTTAAAAATCTAAAATTATGTAAAAACATGAACATTATCTTATGTTACTTACCTTACATATCCACTCAAATCTTTATTTCTTTGGTCTTCATCAGTGTCGGATATTTTACTACCGGCATTTAATCTATTCAACTCGTTATCTCTAAGTTGTAGCTCCGATTTTAAATTAATGATTTGTTCCCTTAATGCGGAAATCACTTCTTCACTGTTAGGCTCAGGCTTTTTGCTTTGCTTGTATAAATGGCTTTGGTACGTTAGTGTTATGTTGCCTGGAATTATACTCAACATTTCTGTGCTTTCCTCTTGTTCTTGTGGTTCACACAGAGATAATTCTTTAAAAACGGATCCTGGAAAGAACGGAAATATTAAAGGCTGATAAATAACATATTTGTATGTATGACAAATAACATATTATACACTAAGCTCATAAAGTGGACAATAATATTAAAAATTCCCGGATTTTTATTTAAATTTACTGTTAATATAATAATCTAATATAGAAGATGAACTACTCTCTTGTAGTGACTTCATCACCAGTTTTCTAAAACTGAAAATTCCATTTTTTATTTCTTCAGATACTTCTGGATGTCACTTGCTGAGAGATTGCGAAAATATATGGAATATATCTGTATATGAAAATGTAATACTAAGTTATAGGTTACTGTTTTCTTATGAAATAATATAGTTACGAAACAAATTTGTAGGCAGTAGATTCTCAGGAATGTAAAAGCGCTAAAGTGACGCCATCGTTGCTAGTTTGTGCCGATAGATATTCTAGCAATTTGTATTTTAATCATTCACATGCAGCAAAATTGTCTTAGATTAATGATCGTTTTGTATTCGGTTGAGGTATCTAATAAAATGTATTTAATAACATCAGTATTTATGTATATTATATTTATTTAAAATATTTATATATAGAAAACATCTAAAAGTGCGATAATATTCTGTCTAAAAGTCATGCATGACACCGTCGTGTTCTTAGGACTAGTAGAAAGGAATAGTAGATCAACGTTGCCATAAGATAAAGAGATATAAATTGCTCGTTGATTTCGTAGTTTAGCTTTCAGTAGCGTATCGTTTATATACGAAAGTAATGTTCGAAGTTAATGTGTAAAGTAGTTCGACCTCCACAAGAAGTCAAAATATTAATCATCGCATGAAGACAACTCGTCGGATGATGAAGAGCTATCGCGATCACTACTATTTACATTGATAACTAATGGTTCAACCGAAATTTCCACTCTTATGTATAAATCCCACATTCTATCTTCTTCTTGTATAGTGTGTCTTATATAATTTGTCCAAGAGTCAGGTATGACATTTTTTATGGCAGTAGCTAACAAGTTTTTCACCTTCTCCATTTTAAAACTCAAGTTTTATCCTGCCACTTGTTTTTTTTTTATTTGAGCCCATATAAGCTCGATAGAGTTCATCTTACAATGATAAGGATGGAGGTGATGTACAATTATGTTGTTTTCACGAGCCATTTCGTCGGCAGCATATTTCTTGGAATCGGGTATATGTATCCTCGCGGGATTTAACAATTGTATTTTTAACATTTCATCGAATGGTATATTTTTTTGGGCGAGAAAGTTGATGTCACCTTTTCGCCAGGCAATTGTTGGTGTTGACTCCAACCGTCGACTGTGTTATAACGTATTGTACATTATAACGACATAATTTGCTTTAAGGTTTGGCAGAATCTTTAAAAACCAACCTTTGAATCTTTGAGCGTCCATTTGCTTATGGAAATCGTTGGTTTTCTTGGATTCGAATAGTAACAAGCGTTTGTCCCAAAAACCCCAATCATTGCCTATATGTGTTATTCTATGCCATATGAGCCCCCGTCCTTTACCTACTGTTGTTTTTAAACCTGTTGAAAACCCTTCAATGAAGGCTTGTCGATGTCTTTTAATTTCTAAATTTTACCACACCTTTGAGATATTATGACCTTGATTCAGCCAAGTTTCGTTTAAATAGTACATTTTTTGCCCTTCACGACGATACTCTCGGATTTTTTGTAAGATGTCTCCGCCACAAGCTAATTTCATCTTTTTCTATAAGAACACTGTTCCTGCTTCTTTTCATATATTTGATGTTCATTTGCCCTAAGGTTCGCAGTAAAACACGTCGTGATATTTTGGTTATTGAATCATCGGAATTTATTTTGACTTCAACTTTCTTTAAGGTTGTAATTTCTTTCCGAACAAAGAAACCATAGAATTTCCTTAGGATAGCATATTTGGTGTCATCTTCAAGCTGGATGCATTTTCTATATCTGGTTTCAATGTTTTCAAGAGAGACATCATCCGATTTGCCTGTACTTTGTTTAAAATGATTTAGAATTCTGTATACAGTTCCCGTCGAAACTTTAGTCAAATCACTACACAGAGTAACTACATCGTTTACCAACATAATTTTATTGCTTTCACGAAGTCCACAATACACCTTGTACATAAGTTTTTTCTCCCATCGGAAAATTTGGGCATCGTTTAGTTTGATTGATTTTTATACCGAAATATACTAACCTAAAGTTATTTATTGTTATTAAACCAAATGTCAATAAGTCATATTCCTACATTAACGTGATACAAGAAATATCTATTTCTTCAATACAAGTAGCTTTGTCGTAACTTCTTATAAAATTTTTCGTACGCCGTTGGAAGAGCCACAACAACGCTGAAACGTCACTATTACGTCTTAGAATTTACTGCCTACAATTTATATTTTCGATTATAAACGAAACATTTACGCAATAGACACCCTGTATATTTTACCTTTGTGTCGTAGTAGAGATGCTTTCGTGAAACCTATTTAATCGGACCAACCAAATTAACCACCAACTTGTTTTTTAATACATACAAGTGGGGAAGGGGGAGGTATTGAAATATTAGCAATGATTAGCAAAGAGGTATGCAGATTCTTCCAAGAAATACGCTTAGATCGTTAATCTATTTCAGAAAGTATGGTAAGAAGCACATCAAAAATAAATAGAATTAAAAAAATAATAAATAAAATTGAAAGATGGATCAAACCAAGGTAGATCTAAAATAAAAAAAATATTTAAAAATATTTAATTTGAAACCATTATTAAAAAGATAATATATTATTTATGTCCCGTAAATACATTGTTTGGCCAAAGAACTGAATTCTGAGAGTGTATGATGGATCAAAATAATAGAAATTACAATTACATTGCTAAGGTTTTATATTTAGACGAAACAACGTTTTATTTGAACGGCATATTCACCGGTAAACCATCTATTACTATGCTTTAGCTTTTCTAGAATCTTTTCAGAAATTTTCTTCCATATCGGTGGACAAGAAGAGGAATAGCGATCGTAAAAACCCCGAATTAGTAAATAAATGTAAAACATAACACCTAATATGAAACAAAATGTTAGAAGAGATGAATGTATTGCCCAGTTGAGTCATACAGTGGACGCAGTGCAACACAGCCAAAAGTATCGATAATGGCCGTTAGGATCAGTATACAAAATAGGAGAAAATTTTCCCATATAAGATTAAAAAACACTTAGGATATATGAAATTAAATAAATTTAAAAAATTACCATTTAAAATTGATGTTATGTTTGAAAGTTGAGCTAGACTTTGATCTGGGTTAATACCCAAACTCATGTTGAATGATTTTGAAAGATCAAGACTGCTGTTAATGATCTCTCTTAACTTTCTTTCTTTCTGCATTCCTATGTAACCCAAAATGGACTTTTGTTTCAAAAGGGAATCTAAAAATACCGTTAGTTCTTCGAGTCGACAGTTCAGTAATGCACAAATCTTGTTGGATTCACGTTTCAGTTTTTCTGATTTCTCCAAGTCAGATTTAAGCGAAACTGTATGGCTCTTTAATTTTTCTATTATCTCAGGATAGTTAGCTCCTTCCAGTTCTTTAAGTTTTTCTTTGAAGTAGTCTCTTTCATCTTTACACGCCTTGAGTTCTTCATGAAGACTTCTACAAAAGTAATAGAATATTAGACATAAAAATATTGAAATCGAAAATATTTTGATATTAAAAATTAAAAAGAACAATTTAAAGAGTGGGAGCAAAACATATCGAAATTTGGTTTAAAAATGAATTTAATTAAAACAAAAATGATGACAAAGCAAAATATCAAAATAGAGTAAGATGAGAGTGAGGTCGAAAGTGTCAAAGTGTATATTTGAATATCTAGGTCAGACGATCAAACTAGGCAAACAGAATCAAATGGCAGATATCACTAGAAGAAGTCGAATGACTTGGACAGTAGTAGGAAAACTCAGTGTTGTGTTGAAAAAAAAAACATGCCAATAAATCTAAAGAAAAGGGCATTTTACCTATCAGTTATGACCTATAGAATGGAGACTTACAGAGTTACCAATAGATTAAGAACAACACAGAGGGGCATCGAACGAGCTATGTTTGGAGTTATATACGAAATGCGGATGTGCAAACAGGACGAAGTCTACCAATATCAGTTATCAGTCAATATATTATGAACAACACAGAGGTCCATCGAACGAGCTATATTAGAAGATTATCTGAGAGAACATATACGAAATGTGGATCGAAATATGAAAACGAAAGATGGTCAGAAATATTATACATTCGAGACCACGTCAATACAGATAAAATAAAGGAACACTACTAAAAAGGTGAATAGACAACATCAAAGCAAAATGGACAGAAACTGGCATTTGATAGCATAAAACAGAAAAGAGTACAGAACTCATGGGGAGGGCTTTGTCCAGGACTGGATGCAAACAGGCTGAAGAAGAAGAGCATAAAAAGTGGTAGTAGAACAGGTAAAGTGAAAGCTTATGAAAATATATAAGATACATTTGACTGCAATGATTCAACGACTAGAGATAAAAGAAACATTTGATATACAACAAAAAACTACCAAAATATAGACCAAGAACACATATTTAAAATTATCCAGGTAAAAAATTAAAAGAAGAATACCTATATACTCCACAAAATAAAAGTTGGACAATGTCTGGAAAAAAAAAGTTGTCAATATTACACAAAAAAGTGGAAAAACAACAGTCTTATATTGTCAGCTGGCCTCGTATGTTGTATACGGAATGTATAACTTAAAACTCTATAACTAAAACAAGTGCAGTATTAAATGCCTTGCAGTAACAAAACATTTCAAATTCAGGATTAAAAATTGCTTTATGTCATACTAGTTTATTATTGTGTTTTTATTGCTTAGTTACCAACTACTTTATGTGTAATGGTGTATTTTATGCCCGCGCGGGCATAAAGTGTACTTTATGGCTCGCACGGAAGGATACAAACAAAAACTTATTAGAAACATCTTTATTTAACAACATTTCAAAACATTATTTAGAATTCACATAAGACTTATGTGGTAGTAACTTTTGCGTTGCTTTTTCTGCTTTTTTTTAAAATTTGGTTAGGGATCTCAAAAATATCTTGCATTTTCACGGTTTTAGTTTGGCACGCTTGACAGCATTTCCGTAGCGTACAACACGGAAGATAGAATGTCTACTAGTAAATATGTTGTCAAAATTAAATCGAATTTTCTGATTTTTTATTGAACACATTTATTTGTAGATGCAACTAACTAGTATGACATAAAGGTTTGTCTGTACCGCGAGTATTAATAGATATGCCCTCGGGCGACTAACATCGTCACCCTCTGGGCATAAACATCTATTTAATACCCTTGGTACATAAATAACTATTTTGGCATTAAAACTAATATCTATATAGGTAATGAGTAAAATACGTATTTTGTTAAATAAATTAAACTTACTTGATATGTTGCATTTTTGAAGAAGAAGCTAAGTCTTTCAACTCAGCATCACAGCTTATATTTAAATCTAAACCAAGTTCCGAAATTTTCTCCTTCAAAACTTTAAGTTGTTGTTCTTTTCCAGTCAGATCTTTTCTCAATCTTAATACCTCTGGCGAGTTAACCTGTCGGGTATGCAACTTTTCTATTTCTTTATTCTTATCCCACAATTCTTTATTAACAATTTCTTGCAAATAACACGAACATTTCTTCAATTCTCCGTTGAGTCGTTCTATTTCCTTATCCTTTTCTTCTAGTTCTTGTTTGTAGAAGCTACTACGTTTTTCTGAAGCTGTATCACCTTTTTCTTGGCTCGACCTATCCATTTTGGCGTCAGGGTTTGCGGCAAGAAGTTCGAATTCAAGTTCTGTTATTCTATTCTCTTTATCTTCCAAGCTGATAAGTAGTTCGTCATACTGTTCGCGGATTTTTTGAATGTGATTGTCTTTTTCTTTTAAAGTTGCCTCCAAAATCTGCAAGTTATAAATATTAGTTCGGCAGGGTTAGAGAAAATTTGTTTTTATTTCTGACTGAACCAAATTATATTAGACCGTACAAAATCTTTCATATAGGCTTTCAAATATCTAATATACACGAAATTTGCGAATTTTATAAGATAAATAAGTTTGTATAGAATTAAACCAATATGTAAACTCATTACATAAACTACAGTGCGGTAATCGGTTGTGGGGTTAATATATTGCAAATAGTTCTGCTAAATATAACGTGTAGTGCTGATTTAATTAAACAATAATAATTCTTCGTAGTTGTTAATATATTCAGCACAACTAACTCCTAAATTTGACTTTGCAGCATTTTTGAAAATCTAGCATGATTTATTAAACATGGCAATATGTTTCTGAAGAGCAATAGATAAAAAACTTTAAGAGCGGTAAAAAGGACTAGAAAATAAATATATGAAACATTTCTAAGGGACATTAAGTTTTTTCTCATATACAGGGTGGTCCTTAAGTAATTATACAAAAAGAAACAGCAGATTTTACACTTTAAAATATTACGATTTGAGCCAAATTGCTTTAATAAAATGTTGATATTCAGAAAGACACAAGGTGATTTTATTTTTCGCTAAAACTTTTATGTTTGTAAATACTTATGTATAAAAATTTACCACTGAGTACTTTTCAATATGGAAAATTATAATTTGATGCACACTTTGATGTAGCTGATAGAGGGCGCCACATATACCACATCTGTGGCATAAATTTGCACTTAACTTTTTTGCTCTTTAAGTTACCGGTATTTTTGACAAAAAATATTAAAGACACATTATTTTAATAAAAAAGGTATACCTGTTAATAACTTCAAAAGTCAACAGTTTTCGAGATAATCGCATTTTGAAAATCAGCTGCGTAATTCTGATTTCGGGCAATTACTCCAGGCAACGAAGGAAAAATAGACAAAAACATTAATACTTCTGAATTTTGGTATAAAATACCTTTAACCAAAGTTAATAGGTAACGAAATATTAAATAAAATAAATATATCAGCAGGATAATTAATAATAGGATTTGACAAATTAACAGAATAATAGGATTTTACATCAAACATTTTACGTTTTATGTTAAATTAACTTAATTTTGTTTACAAACCAAATCAAGAAATATTTAAACTAAATAACATAACATTTTGTCAAAGTAAGTGTTCGATATGTCCATCATTTTCTTTAATTCATTTGTCATTATATTCCATAAAAGATCGTCTCATATTAAGTAGCATCATTGGTTCTAAAGAAACTGCTGCAGTATTTATTTCCGATAGTTGGTTGCAAATGTTTATGAGATTCTTATAGACTCGTTGTTTAATAGGGCTACGTGGTGGCTATAATGTATAATGGATGAATATTTTTTTGGATACATATCCAAATCTTATGGTATATTATGAAACTACATATTAATTTGTTGCAGCGGTTAAATAAAGTATTAAGCTCTGATGTGTCTAGTTCATTGGTTACTTATATACACACGGAATAACCTATCGATGACATTACTTATTTATATGATTACGTTACTGCTTACGAGTAAATATAATTACATCTCGAACAAATGGACTATTATGATTTACTAACGAACTAATATTATGCTGAACTAAATTGCCTGTGTGTTTACTATATTTATAACAATATTGGTTATTAGGCCAACGATGATGTTTTTGTAAAAATGCTGAGTCTTTAAGATTAGATTTGTAGCAAAAGTATTATGAAACAAGACACATATGTGTTATTCAATAATTGTGCTCTAGTTTCTAATTGTCCTAATAAAAATGGGTAAACAATTTACGTAATGAATAATAAGTATTCTTTTGTAATTTTTTATTAATTAAATAATTATATCAATATTTCACCACTTTGCCAAGAAATATGACTACCACGAGCAATCCAACGTTTAAAAAGTTGTATTTAAGTACGTTCTCACTGCCTTCTGTCTATAATGTAGTGGTGTACCATCTTGCATAAACAACATATTTTGGGTTTTCAACATTTTACAATAGAGAAAAAGTAATACAACGCAAGCATAGAAACTTAAGAAGCGATAGAAAAAGGAAATTGTAAACATAATGACGGCCAACGTCTGAATACGGAGACGGCACTTAAAGAAGAAAATTAAGAATATTTTTTCCAATAAGACAATTAGCGGCCATAACAAAGCATTTTGGCATGTTACATTATCATCTTTAAATTGTTTTAATAAGAATAAACTATGAATTATGCTTATCTACAGGTATTCAGTGCTTTACTGCACAAATATCACAACTAAGAATTATTATGTAGCTGACTTATAAAATGCAATTATCTCGAAAACGGTTGAATTTTAAGGTTACTAACAAGTATACCTATTCTTTGTAAAAATAATGTATCTTTAATAATTTTTAACACAAATAGAGCTAACCTAAAAAATCAAAAAAGTTAAGCGCAAGTTTATGCCACACGTGTAGCATCTGTGGCGCCCTCTATCAGTTACATTAAAGTATGTATAAAATTATAATTTATCCTACTCAAAAGCATCAAATTGTAAATTTTTGTCAAAAAATATTTATATACGTAAAAGTTATAGCATTAAATAAAATTTTAAATTTCCACTATAACACCCCTATCTTTCTTAGTATCAACATTTTATTAAGGCATGTTGGCTTAAATCGCAATATTTTAAAGTGTAGAATCTACGGTTTCTATTTGTACAATTACTTAAGAATCACCCAATCAATATTGATTGGATTTTAAAAAGTGACATACTGATACTCATTAGTCAGCACCGAATTTACCTTATCTCTATGACGAAATAATCAAACATTTTAAACAATTTACTGTTTGTATTTTGAGAACGATTTCAGAAGTGGAAATTGAAACGTCAATAAACGTATTTTTATCTTTAATTGTGGCTTATTCCCAGTTTAATAGTAATTAATTTACAATGCCACAAGAAAATAGCTTCAGAACAAATCAAACAAAAGTTAAGAAGTGCACTAATTTAATGGGAATTTTTAACATAAAAGTCGATAAAAACATAAAAATGTTACAATAAATGTGTTTAATAGTCTGTTTCATGCTGCAGCATTAATTACAGCTTGACACCGCCTTGGCATACTTAAAATTAAATTATCAATTTTGTTTTGAGATAACAGGATCCATTCCTGTGTAAGATCTTGTGCAGATAAGGAGTAAACGGTCTTTAAAGCATATTTCATATATGCTCGATCGAATTAAGTTCTGGCGATTGTGTTGGACACTATAAAAGTGTAATATTCTCATTATGAAACCAATCTCTTACTGTTGCTGCAGTATGTGACATTGCATTATCCTACATGTAACGTAAATCAGGACCTGCAGTAGTGGCAAATGGAACAGGTTCTAAGGTAGGTTCAATATATCGATATTGATTCACACATTGAAGTTCGTTCCACAAAAACGGGAAAAGTTCGATGATGAAAAATTATCCCAGCCCACATCATAACTTGTAGACCACTATATGGACTAACAAACACTCTGTACGCATCTAAACATTCCGTATATGTATTTGGCACCTAGGACTTTTCTATTGGTCCTCTGCGGGATGCGGCCATGTTTCAACCAATAGGCGGCGAGGTGCCAAACACGTATATGGAATGTTACTATGGTGCGGAATTCATATACGGAATGTTAAATATTCGTAGACCCAAAAAGACGACTTATCATAAAAATCAGAAAAGGAGAGTAATTTTAAAATATTTGTTAATGTATTATTAAAAAAAAGTAAATCAGTGAAATAGGAAATAAAACAAAAGGCTGTTTTAGCAGTTCAAGCACACTGCGATTTGAAATGGGCGTATGACTTACTTTTTTACACTGCTTACGCCAGACCATCTATACTCAGTGGCGCCGGCCGACGGGTAGTTTAATAAAAACAAATGCATTATGCTCCATTCAAATAAGTTTTAACACGAACTAACTGGCCGTACGTTCATGAGATTTGACGTCACGTAGACGATAACGTTGACCCTAAGCGCCAATGATGAGTAACACGTTTCACTATTAGATTTTAGTATTTTTTAGTAATTTTCTTCAAAGTTGGAACAGGCTTTTCTCGATTATTACTGGACACAGAAGGGTGAAAAAAAATCAATGATTACAGAAAAAAAACTCTTTCAAGTGATGGGCTTAAAAAGTTTGGTTATAATAGAACGTTAATAAACAGTGTAATCCAATTTTTCAACAGAAGTTTCAAAAAAATAAAAAAGTAAAACCACCATTTTAAAAGCAACATAATTTCGAATACCGTGTCCAAATTTCGAGACATTTTGTCGGTAAATAACAGAGAAACACTGTCCCTAGGTTTTGGTGCACCGATAAGACAGCCTTAACTTAATAATAAAAAAATTTTAATTTTTAAAATGTAATATTTATACGAAATTTAATGTCCTTCGCCATTTTTAGTTGCATTTGTTCGATTTGCTGCGATGTTGGACGAAAGATTGTGACGCTTTTCCTCGGCAATGCGATCTGAATACAAGGTCAATATAAGAGTATAACCAACTTCAATCAGTCGAAGACAGTTACTAGAGGGTCAGATAGATTATCATATCAAATAATATTCACTGCACTTACCATAACTGTTCTCCTTGTCATGGTCAACGTTTCCGCACCGAAAGTCAACACTGGCAAAACACACTGATTAAAGGTTTTTCTTTTAAGGCATATTGGTGTATATCAGACGATTTGAAAATATGGTTCAGCTTACCGAAGGTTGTCCAAGTCAGTCTTATACGACCGAGAAGCTCAACGGTTTGGTTATCTTTCCCTATGCGGATCTCATGACCTAGGTATTTATAGGCCAATATTTGTCATCTGGGTTTTAGATATATATATTTTTATTTTTATTTTTACTTTTTCTTTATAATTTGAAGCAATTAATCGTACGAATTTGAGACGCTCTCACTTTTGCCTTAATAAAATAATTCCATTGACAGATTAATTTTCTTTGCATACCTTCATTTGTAGAGAAGTTTTCAAATCTAATGATTTTATTGAAAAAAGTGGAATAATAGTGGCGTTCCTTAAACATTTTTGATGTGTGTAGTTTACAAAGTTATTATTTGCCATAAATATCTTCTTTCTTCTTTCAGTGCCCTGTCCGATTATCGAACGTTGGCGATCATATTGGCAATAATAACCTTATTCACGGCGGCTCTAAATAAATTAGCGGTTGTTTCTTGATACCATTCTCGGAGATTTCGTAGCCAGCATGTTCTTCGTCGGCCTGGGCCTCTTCTTCCGTTGATCTTACCCTGTATTATAAGGTGTAGAAGGTTATACCTCTCTGGATGTCTCATTACATGACCGAAATATTGTAACTTCTGAATTTTTATCGTTCTTGTTATTTCTGTGCTCTTTTTCATTCGATGTAAAACTATTTCATTTCTTATTCGATCAACCCAACTTATCCGCAATACTCGTCGATAAACCCACATCTCAATGCCATATAACCCCGTTTAAAATTATGTTAAAAAATTGGACTCTTGTGTCATGTTATCGCACAAACATAATAAAAGCTATCACTTCTATGGTTCAGAAAATATCGTGCGGTAACTATTTAACTAATTATACTTAAATATTTTCAGGTTTTTTACCGAAAACTCATAATTATGGTGGTGTTAAAAATACTCAAACTAAACTTCCAAACGAGATATTGTTTGCAAGACTTGCCAGAACGTTCTGATCTTCAGGCAAAGGTCATACTAATTGATTAATACCGTTGATTGAATGGGTTATTCAATCAACGTTAATACTTAGTATCGAATGTGAAAATAATAAAATTGGAACTACTTTGTTTGGCATTTCTTATTATTAAACGAAGTGTCAACTTATAAAGTACCAGAAACGCATTAAAAAAATTGATAATTTAAACGATATGAAGTGTCAAATAAACAAACAGTTACATTTTTATATTTATGGTTAATCCAAAATGGCACAAAGATTTGCATACAGTTTTCATCAAAATTAACAGGAAGTAATTCGATTATAAAATTATGAAAAATACTTATAAAAGTGATTGTAAACATGATATAACTATTCATTGCTATCGGCTTCTTTTGAGTTACGATTTTGATATGTAAAGATAAACACTTACCTCAATTTTAGCTTCTAGCTCGAAAGTAAGAGCCTTGTAAAGATCAGCTACCTCCATATCTTCAGATTTCGATTCCTCCATTGATTTCTAATAAAATGGATTTTAAAATAATTTTTATAAAATCCTTTATATGAGTTGACTTTTAGATGTCAACTATTTTTAATGTTTATTATTACATTATCTAAATACAAGTGTATAAACATGCAAGTAAACGTTTGAATTAGAACAATGTGTTGTAAAAACAAACAAAAATATTAATTAATATACTTCAATTCCGGTGTCTATTTTACCATGTTACTTTTTAAACAGTTTAATTGTATATATTGTAAATTATTTAACCTGCGGTTTCTCAATAGCTTATGGCTTTTTAAAGTATTAGATTTGTTTATTTTATGTGTTGAGAAATACCCTGATACTATGTAAAATAGTAGGGGTCGCTCATTACATCTGAACGATTGCGGTGTCTCGAAGGAGTGCCGACCCAAAGAACACGACAATTTCTTTAATATAAAAATTTCGTAACCAGCAGTTTTCGAACCTAAGATCGTAAAAACTTTCGTTTCGAAGGTACTGCTGTCAACATCACTATTGGTCGATAACGGGTTAATATTAGAATAATTAAAAAAGAACTTAAATGTTAAACAAGGAGCTAATAAGCAGCGTTGAATAATAAAGCAAATATTGGAATAACTGGGCATCATAACATAACATCAATTTACTAAGTCTTAGAACAAAAACACGTGACACATTGAAAGCCAATGTAATTAAACCAATATTGCGATAAATGAAACAGAAACGAACATGTAATACTTAAAATATTGAATATATTTTAGAAGATAGAGATTAGGTTAGGTTAGGTTCAATAGGAGTGGCGCCATAGACATATAATACAGACTGAGCGCTGCAATACAGGCAGTGCGACAGAGAAAACTGACACAAGGCAGTAACTGCATCTCTTTCTAATGAGCCAGGTTTATCGACCACGTGACCTTGCCATTGGTCATTTAGGTCATGTGGTCGATAAACCCAGCCCATTAAAAAGAACGGGACTGTATCGCAGCGCTCATTCTATCTTGTATTATATGTCTATGGTGGCGCTTAACCAACCTTCCACTCGACCTAAGGCTTACCCCTAGGTTAAAATTGTCATCAGCTCGGCCTTTTTAACAAAGTCTACTATGGCCTTAAGTAACACAAATGTATTGAGCCTTAGACTATCCAAATCTGGACAATTACGTAGAACGTGTTCCGCCATCCCGTCATCAGCTTGACAGAATCAGTAATTCGCACTTCCTATCAGTCAGATTTTATTCACGTGCCCCTCGAGGCGACAGTGTTCTGCTAGAAGACCTATAAAGATTTGTAGATCGTTCCTATTCCTATCTATTAAATAAGATTACAATTTATTAAATACTTTTATACCTAAATTAAAATATGTCATAATTTTTAAGATACAAAGCAGTATTATATTGATACCAATTAGTGTTTATGTATCCTCATTTTACATGAAAAGAGTATAAAATATGTCTAAAAATAGTTCCCACATAAGATTTAGTTTAAATGCATGTCTATACAAATCTAGAATTCAGTAATATAAATCTAAGTTGTGTAAAGTAGCACAAAAACTACAATTAAATAAAACTAAAGCTCAATAGTCATGCGTTTATTTTATGTTAATACAAAAAGCTATAAAACATATTCTACAGTTATGCTTGAAGCTACATGGGGTGTTAGTAACAATTTTTGTGTTCCATTTTTTTGTGTTTCGATATTTAAATATATTTTTTGTATTTTCTGGCATTTGAGTAGTACTTTGGATATAAACTGTTTATACGAGCATTTAGATAAAGACTTGCCCAGTCCTGGAAAAAAAAATTTGATGTATTTACAAATCTAAATCTTACAATTCCCAAACGATAATCTTAATATATTTTGAGAGAATTTCATGGGATTACGAATCTAAAAATATTAAACACCGAATAGAATATACATACTAACCGCAGGTAACGTGAAGACAAGGCAAAAACTGATATTTATGACAAAAGAAAAGGCGATTTACCTTATAGTTCAAGAATTATAGAAAGAAATAGGTGAACTTCAAAACTATACAAAAACCAACAAGAAACAATTTTCGATCATTATAGGATAAAAAAGATTCTCCATTGTCGGATTAGATTAAATCTAGCAAATAACATGTCAACAATCAAGTTACAAAGGAAATCATGGAAACACTGCAGACAAGAATACTACCTGCGTCATAATGTATACTGACTCAATGTTCAGTAATACCAATAGCCAGTGGAAACATAATGGGAATTACTACACATTTTAACATAAAATTAAATTTAAAATTGATCATCCATATGATCAAATACAAATAATAAATGTAAAAATTTATCACAAATAAACAAATTAGAGGTATTGAAAACTACAGAACCTACGTTTTATTAAAAACATAAGAGACGTCACACAGATTTTCACACAAAGTGTCCATAATATAAGTTAGTGTATACACAAATATTATTACCAAACATTAAGAAATGAAATTAAATAGAACTATGGGAGAAAATATTACAAGAAAATGCTAGAGGTAAGGTGAACAGAAAATTAAACGAGTGAAATCCTTGAGTAAAATTTTTAACTAAACACGGATACCAAAAAAAAATTAAAAATATAATATGATTATTAGTGAATAAGAAGCAATAAATGAAAGTATGTGACTTCTTTGGCATTTTTATAAAATACTTCACTTAAATTAGGAATTTTCGAGATGGGTCTAAGGAAAAAATCAAAATAAAATAAAGATTGTATTATTAATATTCAGAAAAATAGGAGAGTAGCAACACTGAAATTTAACTGGACAGGTCACGTGGCTCGAATGACAGATAACAGATGGACAAAGCGGATACTGGAATGGAGACCAAGAGATGATGCCTACCGAAGCAGAGGTCGTCCACCAACACGTTGGACTGACGATCTAAAACGTTGTCACAGGAATTGGATGCAAGAGGCAGAAGATCGGAATAGATGAAAAATTATGAGGGAGATCTATGTCCAGCAGTGGATAAGCGAAGATTGAGTGATGATGATTCAGAAAAATTAATATCTAGAGAGAAATTCGACAGGGATATATTTTGTCTCTCGTTTTTTTTACATTTTTACATTTAACTGTATACTTCGAGAAACGATGTTACAGTTAATTACAGTTAATTACAGATTAATTTCACTGATGTTACAGTTCTACTTGAGAATAGTGCTTTATTTTGACCATTTACTGAGGATCCCATGGCTGAAAAATAAGATATTGAACTGCTGTTGCAAAGAAACTTTTAAATTATTAGAAAGACCGCCAACGTCCAAGAAGAATGTGGTACCACAAGAACATGACTGGACTATTAAGCAACGGTTATGCAAATTTGTAAGTGAAATATACTATGACTATTGCTGTTCAATATAACCATGTTCAATCGAAAAGTAAGCGGTGAAAGTATATAGTTTCAGCCAGACTAAAATAGTTCAAATGAAAATAGCAGAAATTTTATAAAGAAAACAATTGCACAAAAGAATATTAAATATTAAGATCAACATTAATCAGCAAGAATAAATACCAAAATCCACAACACTAGACGTGAAAGACTTGTAGTATAGTAAGACCACAAAAAAAGTACATCAAATATTTCGTTTACATTTTCCAAAATACAATTGTACTAAAAAATTGACTGTAAAAACTATAATTTATTTTATAATTTGTTCCCAATAAGATACTATCTAAAAAATAAATAGCAAGAAATAAATAAATAATAATAAATTAAGAATCAACGCCATTAAGATATGATTTTAAAAAAATTTAAAGTGAAATTAAATTAAGAACAACTAAAAATAGAACCGATTTGTCACAAAATGCAAATACAATTGTTTGTTTAGACATATATAATGCAAAGCTTAAAACAATGATTTTAAAGAGATGGGAAAAAAATCTATCTGTGTTGCAAATATACCTATTAAATATATGAAAAACTAAAATTGGGAAACAAATGTGAACATCATATTTATTCCTTTTGGCTTTAAATTACTAAAATATAAAAAATTTTAACCGATACTTCAAATTAAACGACCATAACAAACCGATCAGGTAAAAATAAACACAAAACAAAAAATTGTTACTAAACATGACCCCTTTGACCCAACTTATACATAAAATCTTAACAAGAAAATCAAACCTTGCACTAACAATAATTATTATTTGTAGACAACCAAAGACTAGAATAATTTTTCACAATAGGAACAAAAAGTCACTACGGACTGCAAAAGTCTCAAACATCGCGATATCTATACCACTGTACATACAAATGGCCCGTGCTGGAACTATAGCTAAATATAACCTCGCCAAGAATTCGGTATCCCGAACTCTTTTCAAATGAAGCTAGTAATGTTTTAACGCGGCAATAGGCCGGTACGTCATTTACGTTTGAAATTTAAATCTGACAAAAGTTTGTTTGACAATTGCTTCAATTAAAGACTCGTTTTAATGCATGCTCTTGTGCCCATTGTATGTAGCGAAAGAAAGAAAAAAGAGAGGGATGGAGACTTGGAAAATGTGTGATATTTAAAGCAGTTTTCCCGTAGAATAAACATTAACCCTTTAAATTAAGATGCACTTGAATAAAAAATATGGAGCATCGCCACATTATGTTACTGTGTGGACGTTTAAATATTGTATAAATGTATTATTTGTATCATCGATCATAAATGTATTTTATTTTCCTAAATAATTTACAGGCCTATTTATTGCAGCAAGTTCACTGATTCTGGACAGTTCGAGATAAAATTCTTCTAAATATCCGCATTTAAATATATCACAGAAGATCCTCCCGAGAGTCAGATTTTTGGTTGTTTTATTTTGTCGCGAGAGACGCCACATAGGCGTGGATATTGCTTTTCCGTATTTTTATGGGTCCACTAACTGAGGAATTTTGTTTGTATGTTTATTAGGCACAAAAATAAAATATATACAAGAAAGAATCTAGGGCGTTTTTCGATTTATTTCATTACGCAACAAATGTGACACACAGTTTCTGAAAACAGGA